TAACCAGACCCAGATTTTATCTTGAAAACCGCTTCACGGAGGCCAATCAGTGAACGCGCTGTCAAATTCATTTACTGAGCAGCATTACAAAATCTCGTTTACCTCGAACTGATGTTCAAATGCCTCGAACTCCTTCAAGCGGGTTTGACAGCCCTCAATAGTCATAATTCCTAAAATATAACATAAATACCGTAGTCTCAAAGATTCAGAACATACGTTCAGAATAAATACCCTGCTCCGCCAACCTGTGCATTAGCGCTTCCTTGGCAGATACAAAGAATACTCTATTGAAAGCCTCTTCTTCCGAACAAACTTGAAGCTCATCAACCAAAAATTTCAGAAAACGAGTCATATGTTGTTGGCGAACCTAAAAATGACAAACTTCAAGACAATGTTAATCAAACGCAAAAATGACAGGTGTAAATGATTAGCAGCTATCCAAAAGAACAACCGGATAAACTGACAGAGGATTCAGGAGGGTGAGATGAAACGTAGATTTGCCGTTCATCAACCAGATAAATCTGGCACTTTACGTGGTTTTGAAATCCAAAACATTAGATTAAATGCAAATCTCCGGGTACGGAATCCTGACATGATAAAGTCAGAAGGTCAGTATGATTTTGCATCGCAAATGCATTAATACTATTGAGTCTTAGCCCTCTTGAAAGCTCTCTTACACATCTTCTTAAAAACAGAGAAACTGCGATAGTGATGTGAAAATCCGGAAAAGTGTATGATTTTTCAGTCTCTCAGTTAAACGAAACAATCATTTATGAACCCACGTTGGCTCACAGACACAATAAACATTATTCTATAAAAAATATTCCGTCATTTGAAACAAATTAAAACACGCTAGGTTTCAATAATCCATATAATCAAATTTTTCCACTATGCCTTAAGATTCGTCAAAGAACAAAATAGAGCATTTCAATTTAGGGCAAAAAAACGAACTTTCTGCGGCCGCAGCCATGAACCGCAACATGAACCGGAGTAGTCCGCCAACAAAATAAAAAAGTGCCCATAAGAAAACAGATTAAATGGCGTCTTCCATATGAATTTTCCTAGGAGCGGAGTATCGTAAAAAAGATGGGAAACAGCAAGCACCTCATCCCCAAGAAAAGGATGATTTGAAATCATTCATCAATTTTCGTACTTATGCATCATAGGAAGTCAAGTCTAATGGCCTCAGTCACTTAACCGATCTATGTACTATGAAATTTTAAAATGATCGAAATTCGTCAAACAAGCGCCGGATCAGTATTCACAACAAAATACATTTACCTGTTCAATATAGTCTGGTTCTGACGCACTGGCATCCCACCTGTTGTTCAAAATGAATACGTTCGGCTTTGATAACTTTGCGTTTACTCGCAGAAAAAAGTTCTTCTCCTACATTTAAGATTTAAAGTATGCTGAAGCACCGCTGAGGATATTACGGCTTGAGTTAAAGTTGATTCAGCGTTTGAAACCAACACAAAGACGTCCGCATCCAAACAGTGTTTGTCGATCCAGCTGTCGAACTGTGGAGAAACGTCGACACCAGGACTAGAAGAAACGTGATCAGTTGACGACTTAACAATAAAAGGCATTTCAAAAAACCTGTCAACTAAAATAACTTCATTTTGTAGAAGTCTCGACGTATTGCTCGGCCAAAATACGCGAATCATAACATCCTCACCGAGGTCTTGGCTGCAAAGAGCATGTGCCAAATGGTCAATGGACTAAAGACAGTAAAACTGATCAAGTTAATTAAAAACAAATATGATTAAGGATTCATACCGATAAATTTTTCGGTTCATTTGAGCCTTCGGTCAGCATATACCTCTCGTCATCAGTTGAGCCTTCTACCTGCAGGAAACAACGCGTCGTGTGGCCAATACCCGAAGGCAGTACTTTTGCATGCAGCATAGCATTGATGACACTACTCTTGCCGTTACTGGTCCTAAATATGACAGATAAGTTTTGGTACAAGCAGAGATATCCAACAAAACGCTATACGTGTTAATAACTAACGCAAAATCTTACAGGAAAATGCAGTCAGAAGTAAGCTACTGAATAGAATACATAAAAATTTTATCCACCAACATAAGCCGGTTTTCACATTTATAGGTAAGAATAAGTCTGAAAAAATCATCGGCATTAAATGGATTAATAAGTGTAAAATTCGGTAAAATGATGCAATATTAGATAATCGCCCTAATGAGCTAAAAGGTCGAACTCAAAGTACTCTCTCCATCGCAAAAGAATCTCTTTGTCATTGGTAAGAGGGTGTCCAGATCTGTCTTTCAAGACTTTGAGACTGCCCTTCTTTTCACCTCAGAGCCGGCGGATGGTCTGCCAAAATATACTGTTTGTCATGTGAAAATTCGACTCCAACACCTCACCGAACTTCTCCCAGGAATCAGCTTTGGGTTTCGCCAGTGCCTTAGATCAAGCCTTATGCGCTTCTAAATATCGCATGGGAGTAGAAGGCTTTTTGTTCCCAAGCAATTTCTTGAATGCAGTTTTTATCTCTTTAGCTGTTAGTTGTTCCTCTTGTGTCCACCAAGAATATCTTTACTGATCTCCAGGCGGCAGCCCAACCCATTTGAATCCACAGCATTCGGCGGCAGCCTCGAGTATGCCGCTCTTAAAGAACTACCATTCGGTTTCCACGTCAGTGGTCATCACCGGGATCTGTTCAAACCGACGTGCGATGTTGTTTGCAAATTTCGCTTTCGTGTCCACCGAAGACAATGTTTCCCATTTGATTGTCCTTTTGCTTCTGCCACCGGATCTTCGTATGGT